AGTTGACTGTATATGTAGCCCAAGTTTTGTGTTTGATTGTTCTTATTTCTGCAATGAACAGAAATAAAATATATCACAAGCAACAATGTTCAGTGTGCAAAAAAATGTCACTACCTTATGATATACTTCTTCTAGTGCCTGCTGTGCACCTTCAGATCCAGAACCTGTAATTTGTTCAAATTCATCAGCAAAATCACCAACCAAATTATGAGACTGATTATCCAAACAAGAATTCACAGCTTAAACTAAACTATTTACTCTAAAAGCAAAGCTTTCCTAGTATGTTTTTCACAGCAAGTTATTTCTTGTATGAGAGGTAAGCTTCCCCAAAAAGATGGGATAACGTTTTCAAACAACAAGCTGAAAAATCAGTTCCCCATTTATAGAACTCATCCTCTTTGCTTACCCACCCCAGTAGGCAGAGTACAAAGACGTAGCTAAAATGTGCTGGAAGCACTTCATAAACCAGTAACCAATGCAATACTTCAATACTTCAATGACATTTTTAAGTCTTCCATAAAATTTCTACTAGAGATATGCTCACACAAAATGTTGTGCTTGAAGATATTCATCTGTCTTGCAACTAACAAAACTACTCAAATTTTAAGGTAGTTTCTGAGTATTTATTTCAATCCCTACCAAACACAGTTTTACAGCATATTAGAATATAAACCCTTAAAATATAAGTTATGGATTTAACAGTTGATATTTAGTGCTTGGTATACCTATCGCTTTTGCGTCATATTGGAAAAAAGTTCCAGATGGGTCCAGGTGATAACTGAGAATAATGAAAAAGAGAAAAATGTCATTTTCAAATATATTATCCGGGGTAGGCTTGTAGTTCTATGTTGTCACTAAAAGTTCTTCTCTAAGTAGCATGGTATATACAGAGAAAATAGAGATCAGAACACGCATCAAGTGGTTGCTTACAAGGTTAAAAATCAATAAAAAATACTTTAATTTTTTTAAACTGTCAGCCTCAAAACAAGGCTGCTTACAAGAGGTGGTCCTTTACAAGAAGTTCCAACTGTAAGGCATCGACTGGGAAAACTTGGGTTTTGCTTGAGGGATTAGAGGCATAGAGGTTTAACTGTGTTTCAATTCTCAAGCATTTCGCCACATTCACCCTAGTTGTGGTAAACATAAACAATGAAAGGCAACTTTTGGAAGGCAATCTTACAGTTGTGGTCCTTTGGAATCCACTCCACCAAAAAGTAATGCCACTCCAAACGGACGACTCTAAGGGAAAAAACAATGAAAAAAGAAAGACTGATGTCAAAACTGCAATTTGGAGCAGTGTCTTGTCACAGGTTTAACTCAAATCAGCTTCAGCATTTCATTATCTTTTGAGCTGCTACCATTAGCACTGATGGTTATACTGATGAAAGGGAAGACCATACAAGTAGAATGTTACTTTGTTAACTCAAAAAAGAAAATCAAAGGACTTCCTACCATTGCTCCTTCTCTTGCGTCATCATCTCCAAACTCAAGTGCAAGATTTGACACTGCTTGTGTGACGCTTTCTACACTCATCTGTTCATTGTACGTAAACCAGTGATTCTAAAAGGCAGGGTACCATCATAAAAAATTAACATAATATTAATGAAATTAAAGGAAGTGTGGGTGCAACGAGATCAACATAAAATAGCTTGGAGTGTGCATTAACCCTTTAAACTCCAAGAGAATCCATCATCAAGTTTCTCCTAACATAATCAATACACAATCAAGAGAAAAAGTTATGGGAATAAATGAAATCATCAATCCATCATCAATTTTCTCCTAAATGTATCAATATACTATCAAGAGAAAAAAATGAGACAATTTAAGAAATGATAATCAAAGGGCAGATGCTTTGATCGTAGAACAATTTCTCTCCAATAATTCTTTAAGGAAATGTATGGAAATCTGTCTTGAGAATTTGTATGTGGATATTTGGGCTTCACCTGTGCTTCCACCCTTGCTTTGTCAACCATTGTTCTTGAATCAGCAATCAGGCCACTCATGGCACAACCTCAAAACAAAAAAACATAAACTGAGGTAAAAATTTTATAAGGGTAATGACATTTTTATCATGTGACTTTGTAAGAAAAGTTACCTAGCATAACAATGCTCTTAGAATCCGAGTGAGAGTTAAATTTTGAATGACAGCATTGAGCTCCTTTACAACCATTTTCTGGAGCATAACCTTGGCTTTATCACCATATATACCACAAAACTCAAAGTAAAAAAGCTTTTATTTTCACCATGTCACTGCTACATATTGTAATTTAAAAAACTGTATGCAATAAATCCCCAAACAGATCTGTGCCTAGTCTCCTTCACAGCCATTTTCAGGGTCGTCACACAATGCTTTGTGGGAAGGAGCATTGTGTGACGACCCTAAAAATGGCTGCGAAGAAGACTAAACTGTGCCAGACTTGTCAAAAGAAAAGACCCCTTGTGGTTTAACTCTTTTATATGACCTCTTTTTTAACAGACAACTAGATCTTAGCATTTTTGGGTGATCGCTCATGGGAGGTTCCACTTAATTGATGTATTTATAACATAAAATTGCAAGATGTTGTAATACCTATATGACTGTCTATTTCCACAATCTTCTCAACACTGTTTGGCTCCATGAGTGGAGAGGTAATTCGTTTTTCAACAGCAAGAACTACACCTTCTGATGTTTGTATACCAATCGCAGTTGATCCAAGCTGAAACACCAAATCTGATTATCAGCAAGAAATTGTACATTTTGTAGCGACTGAAACTCTACAAAAAGAGGTACTATGTTTGTGCTTAGATTCAAAAAACATTTGACATCATTAAAATTTTTAAAATTTTTTTGTTTTCCTTACCGCCATGTGGTAAAAATGCAATACATGTAAAACTTGAGAATAATAATGCCATTAATGTCAAGCTCCAAGGTGTGGGGGATCATCATACCTTTCTGGGAAACTGCCCACCTACCCCTCCCCTAAGCTGACATTTTGTCCTAAGTGAGAAGTAAGTGTTAATGTTAGCTTAGGGGAGGGGTAGGTGGGCAGTTTCCCAGAAACGTATAATGATGCAGTGTAGGCAGGTAACATGAGAGCCATCAATGCCACAATGTCACTGGTTTCCCTGAAAAAATGACACCTAAGAGAGGAGCCCAGAAATTCCAAGCAACTATTTAACCAATCAGAAGAACTAACCAGTGGTGCAAATTATCAACAGTATGAAAATTCTGCACTCATTCCTCAGTTGTCATTTCCATGAGAAACCGGTGCAGGGCTGTCAACTCTCCCAGATAATCCGGGAGACTCCAGGTTTTGAACCATTTCTCCTCATCTCCAGATTAGAGTCTGAAATCTCCTGGATAATCGCCGAAGTTTGCCATTTCTTGTAGATTCGACAACAATTTTGCGTTTTTTCAGCTATTTTACTGTTAAAATCAAACGTTTCCTCACAAACTCCGGTATGTCATTGTAATATAAGCAATAATGTGATTGGTGGGAAGTAAACCAATTAGGTCAAGTGTTACATATACGATTCCAACAACATCTCTTTCGCGCATTTTTTTTTTTTACAAATAACGTCATGTGCCATGTATTATGACGCCATCTATTACCCCTTCCCCATCAATTCTCAATATTTGAAGACGTGTGGGGTTGACCGCCCTGCCAGTGCATTCCAAATTATCAGCTGTTTTCTCAAGCTAGTTGACAGACAGGGTAATTTTCTCTGACTTAGCTTGCATAGCTGGTAGTTTTGTTGGAGTAGTGAAGGAAAATTTATTTGTGGAAAATCCAAAGGACGGCTCGTCTCCCTTGCAGCCGTTTTTGGGGAGAAGCATTGCATGACAAGACAAAAATTGCTGTGAGGGAGACTAAAGGAAGGAATAAGAAGGAAGAATGGTCTCTCCTCTGAAGGTTTGACTGCCCCAAGAAAACAGCTGGCCATGCTAAGGTAAACTTTATGTGTTACTTTTCCCCTTGGCTTTAACATTATTGCTGGTTTACACGTGACGTCACGGCAGCCATGTTGGTGGTCAAGAACAAAAGCATTTCTCTCCTCTGGGAACTAAACTCCATTTTCATGTAAATTCTTTGAGAAAAAGTTCTATTGTATTGACCCCCAACATGGCCGCCTTGTCACGTGGTTGCAAACCAAGAATTAGTAGATAAAAAAGAGCCAGGGATAACATACCATGCAAAATACCATTTACTGTGATATGAGCCATACTACTTAATACAACTGTCATGTAAGGAGAAATCAGATGTGACGACTCTTGATAATCAAGAGTGATAAAATGACTGATCATGACTTACTTTGATAGCTTCTATGGCATATTCCACTTGAAAAAGCCGTCCTTCCGGCGAGAAAGTGTTAACTCCTCTAATAGGATAATACATGCAAGCGTAAAAATAATTAGTTTACCAAACGTTACAAATCTTTATATAAGTTAAGTTACCTACAAAAAGTGCCATATATTTTTTCGAGGTCCTTGCAAAATTACCAACCTGTCGTACTCTGATCTTGTCAGAAACATAACGAAGACTGCAAAGCTGCACAGTGGACAAAATTTTCCAGGCTATCACCGTGATAAAGCTGATTAAAAGCTTTTTTTAGAGTGCCACGAGGAACAAAATCTGTCAAATAAAACAGCTGAATAAAAAACTTTGAGTTGGACAACGAAAAAGAAATCATATAGCAAAATCTGTAATATGCTTACCCTTCAAAATAACTTACGCTGTGTAGAGAGTCTAAGATCCGAATTGGGAGCTAATTTATACTACAAATTGCAACTTTCAAGAGATTTTTGACCAGAAAAGCTTATCAACTATGAGGGTGCAGGATTCTTAAAAGCCGACTGTCATAATTGTCAGCGCTATTCCTTTATAATGCATGCCTGATTTTATTCGGCCCATTCCCCCACTGAACACGCACTTTCCTGGCGTTTCAACATGGCGTCTCCTTTCGCCTTTCGTCTTGGCGTGAAAAATGCCGGTAGATTAACAAACCTTTTTTCGTTAACACCGAAGGTATGTCTTTTTTATTCAATTATTATCTATCATCCTTTTTGTGTGTTTCTTGTGAACTGTTACGGTCTTTTGACGATTCTAAATAACATTGATCGATCTTATGTCATGATCATCCAGGGTAAAGCCGGCGTATTGGCCTGCAAACGGTTTGGATCAACTGCTCTTTCATATGAACAGGTAAACGTCTTCCTTGTTCTTAAAAAAATTGCTATAATTGTGTCTAAGACCTCAGATCATACCGAGCTAGCAATCAAACTAGTAATTGTAAGATGATGAAATTGACTTGATTGTATAAATTTATGCTTAATAGACCATTTTACAGTTGTGGACTTAGTACCCTAGAATTCGAGTCAATGTGAGGCTGACGGTGACCTTGTTTTGAAACAAACTTCCTTTGCTTTGTTATGGAAATTGTCCTTGAAAAATACCAGTTAGCGCAAGAATAACCTCATATACATAATAAAGCAGAAAGGTTTGTATCAAAACTAGGCCACCGTCAACCTCGCTTCCATCTATAACTGTAAAATGGCCTATTGTAACACTGATTTCCGCCAGGTCTTTTCTGGATTTGCCGAGTAGGTGAATGTAAATAACCTTGGTGAGGTACAAAACCAGCAAAAGATAAGACGTCTTAGTATTTTGAGCAGTGTATTTCACTCTATGGCCATAGAATGAACAAGCCATTATTCTTGACTCAAAAATATAGCTTCAAGAGTTATATTTGTACTGGTAGTAAGAGTGTCTGTCTATTTAATTCTGTTATAAGCAAGTAAAAAATGATCATCTGGTGTACTATCCTCGCAGATAAAAAATCTTTTCCTGGTCTCTCAAGAAAATTCACTGAAATTCAGGTCTCCAACATAAGACTTTTTCCCCGGGAAGGACCCAAGACCTCTACCCAAGAGGGAGGTGATCCACCCTTTCCATACCCCCACAGGCAAGAAGTTTTCTATCTAATCTATAGCTGTCTAATGTATGGAACTTTTTGCTTGTTCTGTGTTGAATTTCCTGGAGAACATTGATAGTTATTTGGATTCAAACCATAATGTGTTGCTGTTTTTTCAGTCTTTGTACAATGTTCCCGAGACTAAAGTCACTGTTCTTCCAAATGGAATGAGAGTTGCTAGTGAAGATTCTGGATTGTCTACAGCAACGGTAGGTACCATATTTATTCAATTAAATGCTGCGCTCGATCAAACGCCACAAATGGAAGCAAAATTACCAATAAACGCGGCCCTCAAATAAACGCCTTACCTAATCAGAAGAATGCAGTGTTTACTTGAGGTTAATAAGAGAAACCTCGGTACAACTTGGTAATTTACACCATCCAGACATTTACAATTCTATCTCAGCAAAATGAGGGAGACACTGGAACCTTTAAATTACATAATATTTACAAACGATTTACAATGACTCTTGTCAGTGATTTTAAAAAAGTGATTTCGAAATAAACACCGCCCTCAAAATAAATAAATGCCACGTTGGAAACGCTAAAAATGTAATAAATGCCGCATAGTTGAATCTAATAATTTATACAGTGTTGTTAGAGTATATTGTACCAGTTAATTTGTCCTTATTTATTGGAAATGTAATGGTGTGGTGTATTTGAGCTTCAGTTGGTGCCCCACCTATTTCTACAGCTTAACCCGTTAAGTACCAAAAGTGGCAATTTCTCCTAACAATTTTAATAGAAAATCAAGAGAGAGAGAGTTATGAAAGTTAATGAAATGATCACCAGTGGGAAAATGCTTTGATTTTCTTTTATCAAATTGTCCCAGTGGAGGTCACTCTGGAGAATTTGCGTGGGGATGTTGGGATTTAAAGGGTTAAAGCAGCTAAGAGTATTGCTACTCACCTTTGGAAAGAATGGTATTTCATTAGATTAGATTTGTCAATTCTTGGCAGTTTAGTGGCATGCTGATCATTGGTTATGATCAATTTTTAATCAAAATCTTTAAGTGATGGGATGACCAATATCATGGAAAATGTTCAATTTTTATTGATTATCGCAGAAAAAATAAAATTTCCTTGTGGCAAATAAACATACATTTTGTATCAATTAAAAAACTTGTGTGTTGTGTTCTAAAATAATAATCTCATAATATTAAAGAAGAAAGAGAATTTGATCACCCAAATTAATAGCACAGAAAAAATGCTGAGCTCGTGGGTCCATAGTCAAAAGACTAGAAAAGTTCATATTTCATGTTCTTCAACTTGTGCAAAGGTGAAAAATAGGTGGAATTCGTATAAAGAGATTTTTCTGATTATAATCGATGGTTGATTGGGTAGACCAATCCGATTATTTCAGATGATTGATTATGAAAATCTCAGTTGATTCCCAACACTACTTGACCGGATAACCACAACAGCTCGAAACTACTCTGTAATTATAGTGGTTCTGTGATGTCTCGTAAAAGTCATTGTTATACAACTGCAGGTTGGTCTTTGGATTGATGCTGGCAGCCGATTTGAAACAGAGAAGAATAATGGAGTTGCTCATTTCCTTGAGCATATGGCATTTAAGGTATTATTGTCTGTTTGGTGCATTATTAAGTTAAAGAAAAGTTTCCTTTGTGCAGGCTTATGGGGGAGTGAATAATTACCTTGGTAAACAATAATGTGTTATTGACCAAGCATGATGTCGAATACTGAATATTGGCCAAGTTCCTTTCTTGTGTTTTTATGGACCAAGATGAAATTGAGGTCAGTAACACTACAAAAAAGGAAGGAGGCCAATATCCAGCCATTTTGAGGGAACAACAGGGTGCAAAGAAAATCATTTTTACAGCTTGCCATTCAGGCAAGCTGAAGCTAGCATTTACTAACCCAAAAGTCATTTCAACTAGACCCAAAAACTTTTTGACTAGCAGAATTGATTTCACAGTTCTTCTGTTATTTGAATTCGTCAAAAAACATCACTTACCCTTCGGGCAAGTTAAAAACAGAATTCACTAGCCGGATAGCAAAATCCACTAGCCCCGAGCTATTGACACTACTTTCTTTGCACGCTGGAACAAGCTTGGTCAATATAGGATTTATTATATGGCCATAAAGAGAACTTTTTCTTACGGAACTAATGTGGGAAATCCCGAGTGGGCAAGATGAGCCCATCTTGCTCGCTTGAGTAGCCAATCAAAACTCGGGATTCACTTCATCTTGCCCACTTGTGGATTCAGCCATATGATAATCTTTGTTATTGACCATTAAGCTTGTTTTTTCAAGATGGGTAGATATGGACCAAGTCCTTTTTACGATTTTACCCGACACAAGGAGCTTAAGGTCTTCAAATTGCACACATGAAAAAACTTTAAGAACAAGTCATCTTGTTCTCTTGTGGATGCAAAGCAAAGCATGCGGTAATAAACAGTAGACAAGCAGGAGTAGTTTCCATAGTTTGAAACTAGCAACAAAACTGTCTAGTCTTTTAACTTACCACTCACTACTTTGTACCTTAAAGCCAAGGCAATTTTTTTTCAATGACAATTTTATTTCAGGGTACAAAGAATCGTTCACAAACAGATCTTGAATTGGAAGTAGAAAACATGGGAGCTCATCTGAATGCTTACACGTCACGTGAACAGACTGTTTACTATGCTAAGGTCTTCAGCAAGGACATTCCAAAAGGTAAAAAGTTTCAAGAGGCTGCAAGTTTTTTGAAGAACATTTTCAGGCCAGATTGTGCCCTTGTCTCCATGCATGTGGGGATGCAAGGCTTTTATTTGCTATTTTTCTTCTTGAGTGGTAATTTTAATGCCAATAACGTATATATGTGTACTTGAAAAAAAAGGGAAAAGTGACCCTCTGTTCACAAGGGCCTTTTCAATTCATGCTCTCAGTTCTTAGAGCCTTGGTGCTACGTGCTACAGATGCTACATGCAATGCAGTGTAATTAATTAAATTAATGTTGTGGAATATTACAGCTGTTGACATCCTAGCAGACATCATTCAGAACTCACTTCTTGGTGAGGCTGAGATTGAGCGAGAGCGGGGTGTGATCCTTCGTGAAATGCAAGAAGTTGATACGCAGCTAGAGGAAGTTGTGTTTGATCATCTTCATGCCACAGCATACCAGGGGACCCCGCTCGGTAGAACCATTCTTGGTCCTACCCATGTCAAATAAAACAGCTGAATAAAAAACTTTGAGTTGGACAACGAAAAAGAAATCATATAGCAAAATCTGTAATATGCTTACCCTTCAAAATAACTTACGCTGTGTAGAGAGTCTAAGATCCGAATTGGGAGATAATTTATACTACAAATGGCAACTTTCAAGAGATTTTTGACCAGAAAAGCTTATCAAGTATGAGGGTGCAGGATTCTTAAAAGCCGACTGTCATAATGGTCAGCGCTATTTCTTTATAATGCATGCCTGATTTTATTCGGCCCATTCCCCCCACTGAACACGCACTTTCCTGGCGTTTCAACATGGCGTCTCCTTTCGCCTTTCGTCTTGGCGTGAAAAATGCCGGTAGATTAACAAACCTTTTTTCGTTAACTCCAAAGGTATGTCTTTTTTATTCAATTATTATCTGTCATCCTTTTTGTGTGTTTCCTGTGAACTCTTAATGTCTTTTGACGATTCTAAATAACATTGATCGATCTTATGTCATGATCATCCAGGGTAAAGCCGGCGTATTGGCCTGCAAACGGTTTGGGTCAACTGCTCTTTCATATGAACAGGTAAACGTCTTCCTTGTTCTTAAAAAAAATTGCTATAATTGTGTTTAAGACCTCAGATTATACCGAGCTGGCAATCAAACTAGTAATTGTGGGATGATGAAATTGACTTGATTATATAAATTTATGCTTAATAGACCATTTTACAGTTGTGGACTTAGTACCCTAGAATTCGAGTCAATGCGAGGCTGACGGTGACCTTGTTTTGAAACAAATCTCCTTTGCTTTGTTATGGAAATTGTCCTTGAAAAATTCTAGTTAGCATAAACTTGATTTACAAAATAAAGCAATAAGGTTTGTATCAAAACAAGGCAACCATCAGCCTCGCTTCCATCCATAACTGTTTAGTGGCCTATCGTAACACTGATTTTCCGCCAGGTCTTTTCTGGAACTGCAAAGTAGGTGAATGTAAATAACCTTGGTGAGGTACAAAACCTGCAAAAGATAAGACGTTTTAGTATTTTGAGCAGTGTATTTCACTTTATGGCCACAGAATGATCAAACAAAAATCCTTCACTCAAAAATATAGCTTCAAGAGTTATAGTTGTACTGGTAGTAAGAGTGTCTGTCTATTTAAATCTCTCATAAGCAAGTAGAGAAATAATGATCATCTGGTGTACCATCCTCACAGATAAAAAATCTTTCCCTGTTCTCTCAAGAAAATTCACTGAAATTCAGGTCTCCCAAATTAGACTTTTTCCCCAGGGAGGACCCAAGACCTCTGCCCTGGAGGGAGGTGATTCACCCTTTCCATACCCCCACAGGCAAGAAGTTTTCTATCTAATCTATTACTGCCTTATGTACAGTTTTATGGAACTATTTTCTTATTCTTTGTTGAATTTTCTGGAGAACATTGATAGTTATTTGGATTCAAACCATAATTTGTTGCTGCCTTTACAGTCTTTGTACAATGTTCCTGAGACTAAAGTCACAGTTCTTCCTAATGGAATGAGAGTTGCTAGTGAAGATTCTGGACTGTCTACAGCAACGGTAGGTATTGGCAGAGTATATTGTACCAGTTAATTTGTCTTTAAGTTGAAAATGTAATGGTGTGGTGTATTTGGGCAAGTGGGTGCCCCACCTATTTCTACAGCTTCGCCCGTTAAGTACCAAGAGTGACTAACATCACATGGCCTTCGAGCGAGTAGGTCGCGCATGCGCATGGCCTTTGAGCGAGTAGGTCAAGCTATTTTTGAGCTCTAGTTCGCTGTAAATTCTGTTAAATTTCTATTACTAAAACCTAAAGCAAAGCGGAAGAAACCGATGTCTTTCTTGCTTTTGAATTCATTACACATATTTCTTCTTTTCTTTTTCTTTGCTTTTTACATATTATAATATAATATCTGATTTGTAACAGAATTAATTTGGCACACCTCGACTAGCGTTTTCTTGCTAACTGCGTGCCAAACAATTGTACTTGTAATGTTACGATAATAAATGTCTTGTCTTGTCTTGTCTTGACATCAATTTTCTGCTAACAATGTCAATAGATAATCAAGAGAGAGAGTAATGAGAATTAATGAAATGATCACAAGTGGGAAAGTGCTTTGATTCTCTTTTACCAAATTCTCCCAACCAACTCTTTAAGGAAAAGTATGGAGATCACTCTGGAGAAGTTGTATGTGGATGTTGGGACTCACATTTAAATGGTTAAAGCAGCTAAGGGTGTTGCCACTTGCCTTTGGAAAGAATGTTATTTCATTTGTAGCCTGCGTAGCAGGCGCTAGGAAATAAAAAACGCGCGCGAGGGAGACACGCGTGTCTCCCTCGCGCGCGTTTTTTCTTTGCGCCCATTTATTTCCTAGCGCCTGCTACGCAGGCTATTTCATTTGATTAGATTTGTCAATTCTTGGCAATTTAGTGGTGTGCTGATCATCGATTATGATCGGTCTTTGATCAAAATCTTTAAGTGATGGGATGACCAATATCATGGAAAATGTTTAATTTTTATTGATTATTGCAGAAAAAATAAAATTTGTTCTTGGCAAATAAGCATACATTTTGTATTAATTGGAAACTTGTGTGTTGTCTTTTAAAATAATAATCTCATAATTAAAGAAGAAAGAGAATTTGATTACCCAAAAGCACAGGAAAAATGCTGAGCTCAGTGGTCCTTAGTCAAAAGACTAAAAAAGCTTGTATTTCATGTACTTTAACTTGCGCAAAGGTGAAAAATAGATGGAATTCATACACTGTATAAAGAGATTTTCTGATTGTAATCGATGGTTCATTGGGTAGTGGGTAGACCAATCAGATTATTTCAGATAATTGATTATGAAAATCTCAGTTGATTCCCAACACTACTTGACCGGGTAACCACAACAGCATGAAACTACTCTGTAATTATAGTAGTTCTGTGATGTCTCTTAAAAGTCATTGTTATACAACGGCAGGTTGGTCTTTGGATTGATGCTGGTAGCCGATTTGAAACAGAGAAGAATAATGGAGTTGCTCATTTCCTTGAGCATATGGCATTCAAGGTATTATTGGCTGTTTGGTACATTATTAAGTTAAAGTAAAGTTTCCTTTGTGTAGGCTTATGGGGGAATGAATACTTGCCTTGGTAAACAATAATGCGTTATTGATCGAGCATGATGTCAAATAATGAATTTTGGCCAAGTTCCTTTTTTGTGTTTTTATAGACCAAGATGAAATTGAGGTCAATAACACTGCAAAAAAAGAAGGAGGCCAATATCCAGCCATTTTGAGGGTATAACAGGGTGCAAAGAAAATCATTTTTACAGCTTCCCATTTGGTTAAGCTGACGCTAGCATTTACTAACCCAGAAGCCATTTCAACTAGCCCCAAAAACGTTTTGACTAGCAGAATTGATTTCACAGTTCTTCTCTTATTCGAATTCCTCAAAAAACATCACTTATCCATGGGGCAAGTTAAAAACAGAATTCACTAGCCCGATAGCAAAATCCGCTAGCCCTGGGCTCTTGACACTACTTTCTTTGCACGCTGGAACAAGTGTGGTCAATAAAGGATTTATTATATGGCTACAGAAGAGAACTTTTCCCTACAGAACTGATGTGGGAAATCCTGAGCGGGCAAGATGGGCCCATCTTGCTCGCTTGCGTAGCCAATCAGAACTCAGGATTCATTTCATCTTGCCCACTTGAGAATTCAACCATTATGATAATCTATGACATTGACCACTAAGCTTATTTTTTCAAGATAGGTAGATATTGGTCAAGTCCTTTTTATTATCTTACCGGACACAAGGAGGTTAAGGTCTTCAAATTGCACACACAAAAAAACTAAAATAAACTTAGTGACTGAAGAGATTACACCACTTCAAGAACAACTCATCTTTTCCTCTTGTGGATGCAAAGCAAGGCATGCAGTAATAAACAGTAGACAAGAAGGAGTAGTTTCCAGAGTTTGAAACTTGCAACAAAACTGTCTAGTTTTTTACGTTACCACAAACTACCTTGTACCTTATAGCCAAGGCAATTTTTTTATCAATGAGAATTTTATTTCAGGGTACAAAGAATCGTTCACAAACAGATCTTGAATTGGAAGTAGAAAACATGGGAGCTCATCTGAATGCCTACACATCACGTGAACAGACTGTTTACTATGCCAAGGTCTTCAGCAAGGACATTCCAAAAGGTAAAAAGTTTCAAGAGGCTGCAAGTTTTTTGAAGAACATTTTCATGCCAGATTGTGCCCTTGTCTCCATGCATGTGGGCATGCAAGGCTTTTATTTGCTATTTTTCTTCTTGAGTGGTAATTTTAATGCCAATAACATATATATGTGTACTTGAAAAAAAAAGGGAAAAGTGACCTTCTGTTCACAAGGACCTTTTCAATGCATGCCTTCAGTTCTTAGAGCCTTGGTGCTACATGCTACAGATGCTACATGCAATGCAGTGTAATTAATTAAATTAATGTTGTGGAATATTACAGCTGTTGACATCCTAGCAGACATCATTCAGAACTCAACTCTTGGTGAGGCTGAGATTGAACGAGAGCGGGGTGTGATCCTTCGTGAAATGCAAGAAGTTGATACGCAGCTAGAGGAAGTTGTGTTTGATCATCTTCATGCCACAGCATACCAGGGGACCCCGCTCGGTAGAACCATTCTTGGTCCTACCCACAATGTCAAGTAAGTGCAATTTTTTATGATTTTTATTTCCAGTGGACTGATTACTTTTTCAGGGTGATCAAGGGTTGCATAGCCTGAGAAAACAGCTGAAATTTCCCAACGCCACCACTGGCTTCTCTGCGAAATGACATCTGAGATGCAGAAATTCCATACTGATGATGTGTCACTACCCAGATCTGGATAGTGCTTCTGACTGGCTGAGAACAATTTGCTTCAGCCAATCAGGAGTTCTACCCAGATCTGGGTAGTGATGAATCATCAGTATGTAATTTCTGTGCCCATTTCTCAGACATCATTTCACAGGGAAACCAATGGTGGAAGCAAAATGTTGGCTTTTTTCTCAGGCTAGGGTGGCACAGTGGTGAGAAAAACTTGTCTCCCACCAAAGTGGCTTGGGTTTAAGACCTGGTTTAAGACCATATGTGTGGGTTGCGTTTGTTGCTGGTTCTCACCCTTGCTCTGGGAGTTTTTTTCTATTTGTGCTCCAGTTTTCCCCTATCCTCAAAAACCAACACTTCCAAGTTCCAATTTTATCTAGGACACTTGGACACATTTAAATGAGTTCTTAAGAACCCCTAAGAGCTTCAAAAACAAAACAATCAAAAACAAAATAATCTCAAATTGCAAAATTTCAATGTCGCTTTTGATTACAAAATGTAATTTTGGATTTTTGTTACATTTTGAACTTTTGGTGCTGTAGAGAACACTATCCAGTTTTCATCTCCAGCACGCAAAGAAAGTCGTGTCCGATAGCCCGGGGCTAGTGGATTTTGCTGTCGGGCTAGTGATTTTTGTTCTTAACTTGCCCGACAGGCAAATGCTGCTTTGAGGGGAAATTCAAATTACAGAAGGATTGTAATCAATCCTGCTAATCAAAAAAAGTGTTCGGGCTAGTTGAAATGACTTGTGGGCTAGTACATGCTAGCTACAGCTTGCCCCAATGGCAGGCTGTAAAACTGACTTTCTTTGCACCCTGATCTCTGAGCAGGTTACCTGTATCAGCAGCATTTTGTAGTACAAAAATAACAAGGAAAGCAACCATTTCATTTAAGTAAAATAAAGGTCTCCAAAAAATCTTGTATTCCTGGCAGCTTGTCCATTGGGCAAGCAGCTCTCTTTATTAGAGGATGGCTTGGCTAAATCCTTGCCCATTGGGCAAGTAAGCTTTAAATGTTACTTCCTCAGCAAGAAAATCTGCTTTTTCTAGACTACTGGACAGGTCCCAGTTGTTCAAACGCTGGATAGCTCTATCCATGTGATAAATCGCTATTCAGTGGATAAGTATTGCTCAAGGGCAGCGTTCCAGTTAATTCTTTCAAATAGGGGGTCATGTAGACCATCTGAGGGGTCACCAAGACCACATGCTAATTTCTTTCGATGTATTTAACTTACTGTATTTATTCGAATAAGCGCCCACCTCGAATAAGTGCCCATCCTAACGGCAGAAAAAGTTAATAAGCGCCCACCCCCACCCAACCCTCAAACCCCCTCCTACCCCCCAAAAAATGAATAAGAGACTTCCCCGAAGACGTAGTTTTCTTCGGAGTATTTTACAGAAACCTTGCTTTGTTACGTCTTCGCCTTTTGTCATTACCATTTTTTGTTTTGTTGCAAAATAAACATACTTAACGTGCTGAAAATAGTGAAAATTTAATAAGCGCCCACCTCAAATAAGTGCCCACTCTCAAGGTCCAAAAATTTAATAAGTGCTCAGGGCGGTTAATCGAATAAATACAGTATTAACTTAATATTATGTCATCTGTCGGGTCAGGAAGCCTTCTTTGTTGTGTCATTGACCCGAGACCCATCTCTTTTCTGGAATGCTGCAAGAGAAACCAATTGTATTATTGAATGGATAGAGATTTACCCAGTGGACAGAGTTATCCACCATTTGAACAACTGGGCCCAGGACTTTTTTCAAGCTGTGTATATAACCTGTTGGTTTCAATTTTACTTTGTAGGACCATAACTCGTGATGATCTTGTTGAATACATCAACAAACACTACAGTGCCCCAAGAATGGTACTGGCAGCTGCCGGAGGTATTTCATGCATTCTGCTTTCTCTGATGCCAGTAGTAGTTTTAGACTGTCTTAATGAGATCTTTACACATAACTTAACAAATCCATTGCATACTTGCACAGCAATTTATTCCAACTCTTCTACACAACCAGACAGGGGAACTTTTTGAGATTTGAGTTTCATTATTTTGAGGATAATAATCCTTGTATAACTAGCAGTTTCCAGTGGAAAGTGAAGTGCTGCGAGTAAAGCATGACATTTCAAATAGTTTGAATCAGCTACAATTTCTTTTGATTTTTGATATTTGCCATTAACGGTGTCAAATAGGTGTGCATGTAAGGCGACACTACACAAAGGTGAAAAAAAGTGTGTTTATCAAGCTACAATTGTATAAAAGTCTGTGAGAATAAATCAGCATATTATTTGTCTCAAACCTGTCCATGATAAGGTTTAGAGCACGTGAGTGATGAAGTAAGTGAACAAGTGAATTTCCAATTGAGTTCAATACTAAACTGGTTCGTTACACTTCGTGGGCGTATCAAATCATTTTCAATCTTTGCTTCTGCCTTGTATCAAACATTTTACTACCAAGGGGAGAGCAAACCTTGTCACACGTTCAAGAAAAGCTCTTAATAACTAAATCATTAAGCTTAAATAAATCTAACAAAGCCTGGCTGAATACAAATTTGGCCAAAACAATGAATTTATTTACCACAGAGTTCCAGGAATTGTGTCAAATATTCTGAGAAACATATTTCTTCAATTCATGAGAACTTTTTACATTCACTTGCTTTCATACTCTTCGCTTGCAAAAACGTGGCTTTCTATAGGAAACAGGATTTCTCCGCCTCAGGTTTTCCACAGCCCACTTTATCGACAGTCGACTGTTCTAGAGGATACAGTATTTACTTTTCCCTTTGGAATGTAATTCTGAATCGATTGGCTGCAAACAAAAGGGCCTGGATTCGACGGCCATGAAATTGAGACAAAAAAGGTGTTTTACATATGTACCTGTAAACATATTTACATCCAAAAATCTCAAATGAGGCCAGCTTCGGGTAACAGGTAACCCTGGCTAGTCATACGTGACCTGAATTGGTCTGCTGCAACTTAACTGTGCACTTTTAAACTGGAGTACTGAACTTACAACATATATTGATATCTATCTTCATTACGTTCTTCCTTACAATGTAACCATTCATTACTTAACATGTATTTTTTCTCAACTGTTACTTGGGAAAATTAATTGTTACAAATAGCCATATTGTTAATTATGAGTTAATAATCAAGACCCAGATTCTCCTTTTCCACCTTCTGTAATTAGTCTGAAGGACTTTGGGAGAAGTTAAGAAATATGGTACTATTGTTCACAGGTGTTGATCATGATGCTTTGGTAAAGCTTGCTGAACAAAATTTTAGTGGTCTGAGATCGACATATGAGTCACAAGATAAGCTGACGCCCTGCAGATACACTGGCAGTGAGGTAAATCAATGAAATTGTCGCCATTGGGAAAACCATTTTAATACAAACAGACACATGCACATGTCAGAGCTGCAAATGACAATTGGTCATTGGACAAAGGGTGTTTTCACGCTAGAGATGTTAAAGTCATTATCTAGTATAAATGTGGTAAAAAAGACAGATGTATTTAACGTCTGACAACATTAACATCTTCTCTTAAGTGTGTCGTTCAGATGGCATGGACTACCCTAACACAACGGGAAGAGTCAGAGTTGTGTATTTTTTACAGAAAATTCTGTCTTTTACAGTGTTGTCATCTACTTTTTTGTGTTCTGTTCAGATGTTAAATACATCTAGATGACTTAAATTGTCTCTAGCATAAAAACGGCCAATGTTCAACTAAAATTTGCCATGTCTGATGAAATCCATGCATTTTTGTACTTATGTAATTACTGGGAAACGGAAGTATCGGTACATACATGTACCAATGTATATTCAAGTGACTTATGTTACTCTCATTTAGAGTTTCAATCTCGTGATCATTTAAACAAATGGAGATTACGTCAGGGAAGAATGCTGATTACTACCTTAGATGGGCAATGTTATGTTAATGTGTAGATAACAAAAAAAAAGATTTTTTGCTGTAGACAGTGCTAGGTTTATGATGGTGACTGGTTGAAGGAGATTACAAATTAATGGTTGAATGGTAAGAAAAAAACTAAGCTCATTGAGATAATAGTGATTTGTCACAGTATTGCAGACCACTTGTTTGTCTCTTCCTTTAGCATAAGCAAATAAACACTTAACAACAAGTTGCCATAAATATGTTGCTCATCTTTGTCCAATAATAATAACATTATTGTTTACCACTATGCATTTTAGATCATAAAATCGTGTTTGTTGTTGACAGATCCGTTTCCGTGATGATGACATGCCATTGGCTCATGTTGCTGTTGCTGTAGAAGGCTGTGGCTGGACTCATCCAGATTACTTTGCTCTTATGGTCACTAACATGGTAAGATATTAATAATTTTCCCCACAAGACACTTAAAAATAATTTATGTACTTTTTTGGCTTTGAGAAAGCCCAAAGATAAGGCTTGTACTGTGTGGGCATGCATCCACAAATTCAGTGTAATAAATTACAAGAACGAATGTAGCACCAGTTTTAGTAACATAAAAAATATGTTAATAATATATGTCACTAATCAAAAGTATCAGTAATAACAATAATAATAATAGGTAAATTAGAAATAGATATTAAGGGCAACTAAGAAATGCTCAGAAAATAAAAGAACCGAGCCCCCAGCAGGAATCAAACCCACAACCTTCCAGATACTGGTAGGACACATTGACCAATAAGTAAATTGTTAGTGATGATAGAAGATTTTCAAAGGGATAAAAGATAAAACAAAGGAAGAAACAAAATATGGGGCTAGGGAAGAAATTAGGGCAAGTAAAATTTGTTGTCGTTTATTACATTATTATTACTTTTTTGCTGAAGGGGTTGATGGGCTCTTACTTGTTTACCTCCCTTTGGTGAATTACATTGTAAAATTAATACGTAATAGTAATAAACAAACACTTAACTTAAACTATCTGCAAACCAAACTCCTACACAGTTGTAAGCTTAGGCCAATAATGCTTTCTGTTTCACCAGACCTGTATTTTATAAACGTTACTTGTAATGATCCTGTCATATCATAATTGATTTGCTTTTCAATGTTTTCCAATTGATTTGTACAATTTGGTGTGTTATTTTGAATTTTTAGCTGATCGGCAACTGGGACAGATCATTCAGTGCTGGAAGGAATATCAGCAGCAAACTCGCACAGGTGGGGTAATCACAACAAATTGTTTTTCCTGGGGCAAATGCTCTTTCTGACATGAACCAAAATTAATTACAGTTTGGGTTAACCTGTCATCACCTGTTGGGTCAAATAGCTGAATTAATTCAGCTGAACTTTAACCAAAAAATTGATCCAAATACAGTCAGCTGAACTGAGCCACAATCCTTGTCACATAATTTGAGTTGGGACAGTCCCCTTGCAACACCCATAATCCAACAAAAAGTTGTGTTCCTTCCCTCCCAGTGTTGAATTTCAGTCTTCTGTGATGCCAACTGGCAAAGACCAACATTGGGATTGCAGAAAATATCATAACTGTCCCAACTAATGTAACAAGTATTGTAGGTAATATGTGGGCACTTCACATGAGGTCAACTCTATTACTAAAGTCTGGCTCATGTGAAGTACAGCAATATTAACCCAGGCCCAAATTTATGTACATGTATGAAAAGTCTGAATTTTGTTTAGTTGGTGAAAATGAGCCTCTGCAACATAACACTGAAACTCTTTATTATAATGGTTGAATTTGGGGTCCCAATAACAGACCAAAACCTAGAACCACTTTGTACCGTGTAACAAATAGTGCCACAGGAAACTACTGCTCAGTAGCTTTCTTTTGAATGGTCACACTTTAGGATTACACCCACAGACTAAAAAGTTAGAACCACTTTGTTCAGCATAATAAACAGTACCACAGGAAAGTATTGGATACTAAGTAACTTTCATTTGAATGGTCACACTTAAGGATTTAGTTGACAGACTCAAACATAAAATATTCTTGTCAAACTTCTGTATGAATTTCTAACTAGTATGGCTGAAGCAGTTGTTAGCTCAGTTTAGTCATTGGTATCAGAAACATGACAGCAGCCTCGAAACGCAGTTCATTTGTTTACTGTTAAAGGCATTCAGTAGAAGATCCAGACCTTCAGATGGGGGGAGGGGGGGAGGGCGCTCATCCAGACCCTGAGATAAGGGGGGGGCGCGCAGTCTCCAAAAAAATTTTTTTTCGGCCCTTCGGATCTGGGTCCGCCACTGGCATACATGTATACTGACCAAACAAGTAAACTTTTGGTAATCTTTTTTGTGCCGCTTTATTTGTATTCAAAGTGTTTCAGTGGAAAAACCTTCAGACAGCTGTTTGGCTCTCATTTGCTGTGTTGTTTTTTGTCCATGTATGTATTCCTTGACATATTGTCTGTGAAGACTCTGACCATAAGTGCAGTACAGACAATTCTACACCTGTAGATCTGGTTTAGAAAGTCTAATAGTCTGAAATGTCACCTGTCTCATAGCCCCACCCCTCCCCAATGGGCAGCCACTCATTCAAAGGGGGTGGGGGGGCGGAGAATGACAAATACACGAATAATAACCAAATTAAAAGTTAAAGTATTATTTTTTGTTTTTTGTAGGACATGATTAAACATAACTTGGCTCACAGTTTCATGTCATTCAACACTTGCTACACAGATACAGGACTATGGTTAGTATTCCCCTTTGGATATTATTTTTAGTGGTGGGGCCAAATGGGGCAATTCTGTGTTTCGGTTGTAAATATGCACAATTACCCCAGATAGGTTCTCATGGAAATGAGATCAAACAAGTGTCGTATGACTGGTTGAAAAAAAAAAAGAGTTTTCTCCCTTCCCTCACCCATAACCCCTAATCATGTAAGCTTGCTCAAAGGCATGGCTTTTATAACGAGTACTAATGTGTTTGTCGATCAGCATAGGTATTCACTGTAAGTTTAAGTTGATCAATTATTGTTGCTGTTATTATTGACTTCTGCACTACATACAGTGTGGTCAACTTTGTTTTCACTTTGTGAAGCTGCCTTTCGAATGGTCATAACTAGCTAGCTATTAGGCCTGGGCTTGAAATTGTATCCTAGCAACATGCAACGCATGCTCAACAAAGATCTTACTCAATTCATGCAAAGCTTTTCACGCCAGCTGGTTTTTTCCCCTCCTCCTAGTAACAATAGGGACCTCAAGCAACAACGACGGCGGCGGCTTTGAAAACATCACTTAAAAAGTGAAGTCGTGCTGCCTCAAACTTTATCGCGTTTATTCCATCTCGTTTACTTCGTCAAATGTTTGCAAATACTTTTGGAGTTGAATTCTAAAGGATTGTATCAAAGTTCAGGAAAAGCAAAAGAAAATTGTTGTTTTGCTAATATAAAGCTAGTACTTCTTCGCCGTTCTTGTTCTCGTCGCCGTTGTCGTTTCTTAGGGAAGCCAAGGAATACCCTCTGTTTGTTTTCCTCCACAGCTTACTTATTTAACCAAAACTTGACATATGTGTTTACATTTTAGGGGAATTTACTTTGTGTCTGATAAAATGTCCATTGACAACACAATATACTGCATCCAGAAAGAATGGTGAGTGTTAAACATCTTGCTTTATGCCCTGTTCAATTTACCGTAAATCCCCCATTAATCCCGCCGGGGGGCTTACTTATTTCAAGCCCATTTGGCGGTGGGGGGGGGGGGGGGTTAATAGAGCCGGGGGGCTTTTTGGGATTGGGGGGTTCTGTACACTTTCCTCTCAAGAGTGAACAACACCGATTTTCGCCGAAAGGGGATTAATAATAATAATAATAATATTTATAATAACAATAAATAAAATGATCAGCAAAGGAATTTGATCTTTCATCAAATTTTATAAACTCAAGGGCTTATGTAGTTAAAAACGGCAAGGGCTTATGTAGTTATTTTTCTTTTTTAGGATGCGTATATGCACCAGTGTAACGGATCACGAGGTGGCACGTGCTAAAAATCTGCTGAAAACAAACATACTTATGCAGCTGGATGGTATGTAGCTACCTTTATGCTGGTTTTCGTCCCTGAAGGCTTAAATCGTTGCGCAGCATGGAGTTTATCCGTTAGTACATATTCAAAAATTTGAGCCAATGAGGAACAAGATCAAATTTTTCAAATTTATATTGCCTTTCCTCATGTGCTTTTCCTGGCACTGTCCTTTTCAGTTTTCCCGCGCTTTTCATTACTCGAACGCTTCTCGTCAATAATAACAGTGGTTTTTTCCCGCGCTTTTCATCATTTGAACGCTTGCCTTCAAAAACAGTGGTGTTTTCCCGCACTTTTCATCATTTGTACGCTTCTTTATGGTGTTTTACCGCGCTTTTCGTCATCTGAACGCTTCTCTTCCACATCAGCTGCGTTCGCCGCACTTTTCATCGTTTGCAAATTTTCCCGCTTTTTCTATCATTTACACTTTCCCTGTGCTTTGCTTACAAGTTTCACTCCCCTCCCCCTCCTCCCTCCCCCTTATTTGGTCACAGGTGCGCCTTTCCGTTTTTTTCATCCATTGCACACACTTCCCACAGTTTAAGTTTTTCTCGCGCCTTTTGTCATTCACGCCTGTTGCATCCTTCCCTGTACTTACATTGTCATAAAACTGCTGAAATTAAATTACGATATTTAGCTTTTTTAGCCTGACAAAGAGTCGACACTTCGCGGCGCCACCACTGTTTTTCCCGCGACGGGGAAACTAGTGAAACAAATTTTCATCCAATCAGAAGCACTACACAGATATGGGTCGTGTGACGTCATCAGTATGGAATTTCTGCGCTCGTTCCTCAGACGTCATTTCGCAGGGAAACCAGTTGTGGCGTCAGGAAAGGTCGGCTGTTTTCTAAGGCTTAGGTTTTTTTTATGCTAACTTAATTCGTCTAAACTTTATTCTAGGATCCACTCCTATCTGCGAAGACATTGGAAGGTAAATGTTTACAGCCTTTGTTGATTCACTGTACGTCAGCAGTCATTATCATCATCACCATCATTATCATCATCATCATCATCATCATGTAAACTAAGGCTTGAAAAACCACTGCAAAAAACCGTGTACGATCAATGTAGCTCAACTTTGGATCAAACAAGATCGTGATCAGTCGAAAAAGATAGAGAAAATAGAATTAAGTCAAAAAGACTACTGCAAAGACTGATCAAACAACGTGAAAAAGGCTGAAGTATACAATATTTCGACTGGCCAATACCTGTCTTCATCAGTTTTATTAGATCATCATAATCACTTTCATCAAATGCGCAGATCCCTTTTGATACAGACGAATAACTAATTCATTTTCTGACTCGAGACTATGTCGATTTTTTCACCAGGCAAATGTTGACATATGACAGGCGTATTCCTTTGCCAGAACTTGACAAAAGAATTGAGGTAATATATTACTTTTATCCATTTCCTTCCTGTTTTGATTATTTGTTTGTCTCCTACACATTCTTACGACTAGCTTGCCAGAAAGTTATCGCGCTTAGTGCTCACTCCTTTCCGAGTTTGTCGTACGAAACCAGCTCAGAGCCTAGTCCCACAGGCGAATTCGTCTCGGTCAATCCTAGACTCTACCGTGAGCTGTAACGTCACCACCCTTTCGCAGACTTCGCGCGGTCAACTGGGCAAGAGAGAACGCCTCGGGACTAGGCTGACCAACTCATACATTTCCTTTCATTTTTTGTAGATGATTGATGCTAAGATGATCAGAGACGTAGCCACAAAGTACATCTATGACCGCTGCCCTGCTGTTGTTGGAGTCGGTAAGTACGGTTTGTTAGATAATAGGGAGTTTAATTAGCGAAGTTTTGAGCAACGCACGTCAATTCGAAGTGAGCCTTTTTCTCTGCTGAAACGCCTTGACGCTACTTAATTTTGTTTTTAAGTGTTTTTACTCTTATAGAGACGATTTGCCCTAGAATTTGTTCAAAATCACGGCCGTGAAGTTCAAAAAGTCTACTTCTGGTTGACTCGCGTCGCTCAAAAACGTCGTTGCTTTTAACTCCCTACTAAACATCCTTCACTATACTTGCTTGTTACCATTTGCAGTGTCATTCATTGGTTAATCTAGGGGAGGAGCAAACTGAATAGGGACAAGTGACCACGTACACCAACCCACTGCCTGGCCGGTACCTAACCCCTGTTTCACCCTAGCACTAGCAATATTGGACAGCTTTTTCGCCCTTATTAGGGCTCGTCAAAGTGGAATAGCCGAATAAATGGACAACTCAGTGTATCATAGGGCCTTTACTGCAAAGCAATTATTCAAGCGCCAGCTCCTTACAATACAAGTGGGAGCTGTTGGCTGGGAGCCGCATGGCAGTTCTCCTACGGAATGTGTTGGGGAGGCGGATGAACATTACTGTTGATCTGTGTGCCAGGGGAGGGGCCCTCTTCTTTATTTTTAGCCTCAAATGAATTCCCCGGGGAAAAGAAAAGTTAATTGGAGGCCTGCCTCTCTCTTTTCTATATGAGCGGGCACCCACCTACTTGAAGATCCGAATATTTGCCCCTGTTATAGCCTGCGAGAAAGCTGCCCATTTGAGGAATCGCGAGAAGTCACGCATGAGCAGCACGCGAAAGGAGACGCGAGGGGGTGGGTGGTGGGGCGGGGATAGGCGACCTCGCCGCTTGTTCGCGCGTTTTTTTACTGTTGAGCTTACTGGTGAGCTTACTCGCAGGCTCCTCCGTACTGTTATCAATGTAAAGGAAAAAGTCTGTGTTCAGTTTTGGCTGTGCTGGTGTAATTTTGAAATTTGTGCATTTTTTCCTTTCAGGACCAATAGAACAGCTGACGGATTATAACAGAATTCGCGGAGGAATGTACTGGTTGAGGCTTTAGACTGGCGAGCCTCCTGCCGTCATCTCTCATTGTTTCAACTGAATATTCTGTAAAAAATCAAAGAACGCTTTTATCGTTTGCGCTGTATGCAAGTTTTGATCTGCAAAAACTTCTGCAACGGTTAAATGTTGTTAGGATTCTTTTAATAAAATATGTGGTCGTAGCTTCTTTGATGTTTGCCATAAGTATTGAAGTTATGTAATTCAGACCTTCCACGGCTGTTCCTGACGAAACGACGACGGCGGCAGCAACGGTAATGTCAAAAAAGCAATAGGTCTTATGAGCAAAATTACAACTCTGCAAGTGCATCATGCTTTTTGGAAGTTTCTTTGCCGTTTCTGCACAACTACGACGTGAAATGGCCAAATTTTACGTTCACTTGAGAACGGGAACGGCAAGACAATAAACTGCACCATCGCCGTCATCTCTGTCTGAACTCGGGTGCGGCTACTAGCAAGATGCATGGGGGGTAGCCCCGTGGGTTTTACACTTGCAATCCAGTACAGTGGGCGCAATAATTCTGTACTGGTAAAATTTTGTTGCCGGCAAAGAACCGCCAATGCGAATCTTGAAGGAAACGTGGATTTGCTTCAATCACAATATAGTTTGACAACATTTACAAGGAATGCCAGTCCCGTGTCTTAAAATTTCGACCCGCCTCACATTTTGTGGATTTTCAAAATTGCCCTCCAAAATCTAGGCCTCTTCGAAAGTTTTACACCTCCCCCCCCCCATGGGACGTAATAAACAGTTTTTCATCGGCAGCACTGTAGCGCTGACAGTTTCTCTTCCAACGGCTCGATCTCCCACGTTCCAGATGCAGGTAGAAGGAATAAAGTGCTCAAATAGAGGCACGCATATGCGATGGGGTCCACACAAGACTTGTTCCAAACATTCTCATCTGCTGAGTCGCGATCCTTAGGCCCCGAGTGTTCAAACGGTAGCAGGTCGTTTCGCCCGAAGTTGTTATCGAGATCGCTAAGAGACCGCTCGACCTTTTTTCAGCAACAGAACCTTAATCAAAAAACAATTCCGATAAGCCGTGTTGTAGAGTGTTGTTTGTCATTGGGCGAATCGACTTGCTTTTGCGACAGAGCGAAACAACTTCGGGCGAAACGACCTCAATTCGTTCAAACACTATTTAGGGGGCCCAGCAAGCATGGCCCGGTATGGTTACTGAAAAACCGGTTCGGGCCTTCTTCGCTTAGTTTTCCTGGAGGAAGCTGTTCTTAAAATCACATTTGTCAGGATTAAAAACCTTCTTGCCTTTTTTTTTCAGTTCTTCAAGGGAAAAAAACGGGAGTTAATGATGCGCAAATCAGTCCATACTCTCAGAAGAAATCGAACATAGCGCGTCTGATCTCCCAAAGGGCACTAGATTTCCACCAATTAGGAGTCATAAATACGGTCTTCGCAAGCAACAACAAATACCCTAAAATTGCGAAAATAAGCCCTTCATGCATGAGCCCCTCCATATTATGAGCCGCCCCTCCCAAGCTCGAAACGCAAAAAAAAACCTCCTTTACATCGCCCCTCCTAATATAAGTCCCCGGGGGCTTATACTTGGAAATTCCCCTCTAATACAGGCGAAAACGATACAGTAACACATATACATGTTTACTTGTTTTGTTTGCCTAAGAACTATGATGGCTTGGATTTCTTCGGTCCATAGACAAAGTACTTACAGGTCTATTCCGCCACCCTGCACCCAGTCTCCTTCTGATGGTCCTCGCTCTTTACCTGTTGTCTTTGCGACGATAGAATGAACTGTCATAAATTTCCTTCCAACTATAAGCTAGCCCAGTCGATTTTAAGACGCAAATTTCCCTCCAAGTAAAAGCCTAGCCGATTTTTTGACGCAAATTTCCCTCCATAAATAAGCCCCCCCCAAAAGGGCCTTTGAAAAATATGAGCTCCGGGTCTTGTTTTCGGTATTTAGGTAAATCAACCTGTTTTCCAGCCACAAGAGGCCCGAGTGGTGTACTTCCTTACAACATTGACGGGGTACTCGTCCTACGGAGTGAAAAAGAACTTGAGCAACGCCCAAAAAACGTGATGGGTGTACCTCTTAGGAAGTCTCGCGTTGGTCTTTTTGTTCGTTTTGATCGTTTTGGTGACTGATCGAGGTCATATAGATCAACTTAATCGTTTTTTTTTTCTCTCTGGTCACTTTGGTCTTGGTGGTTTTGGGCTGCTCGCTATACACAAATTTTTTTCCTTGCTTAATAATGTTTTTCTTTTACCCCTCCAGCCCCGTAGCTTTTCTAATGGTCTGTCCCTTACACAAAACAAAAACTTGTGCAGGAATTATAAATTATTTTTGTAATCCTCTCCAAAATAAAAAAAAAATCCCAGGACGTGATCGTTCCTCTCCCTTTCCTCTCATATTCGCCATAATTTTAGCCAAAAGTTATTTCTCTTATTTGAATTGAATTATTCTTTGAGTAGACGAATGCTGATGTTTAACCACCTCTGGTTTCTATGGTGATACGATAGATTAACTTGCTAGAGAGAAAGGCGGTGCAGGTGTAGTGGGTAGATACATTTTCAGAAACACTAGGAATATATTTTGTTATAACAAAACGCTGTTAGTTATACCCTTGGAGCGCATACTGGTCGTTTTCTCGGCTGACTTAAAAATTTCCTCATGGTGCAATTTTGTCGTTTACAAACATTATTAGATCGGTGCTGCCAAAATCTCTGGTTCAGGATAATTGTTTTTTTTTTAAGACAAGATAGATAAGAGTCTGAGCCCACGTTGAGCCCAGCAGATGAAGCGCTGAAAAAGCTGAAAAAAAGCAAACAAAAAGTTAAAAATGTCATCAAATGTGCCCGATTTTCATTTTGCAACCACGTCAGCTGAGACACCCAGTATATCTCTAAAAATATTACCAATGCAAGTTGTTTTTTATTATATTTAAACGGTGTAACTTGCATGCGGATATGAGTATAGGTTTCACATGTCATGAAATTTTGAGATTATTCGATGACCGTTAACAGAAACCCTGCTGTTGGTCATTGCGTGACAATTTGTAAAACGCACGTGACAAAGGACTCTTTTCAGCAAGGATAATACGAAGAATGCTTACAGATACACATGTAAGTAAAAAATTTTACATATCGAAAACAGATTTACGCCTACTTTTACAAAACAAATGGTAAGATCGATCAAAGAGGCTAGATAACTTTTTTACAAAAGCGTGTAACTAGCTGAACTACTAAGTAAAAGTAAAACCTAAAGCGCATTTATAATTAATATCAAATTTAGCCAATTTTCGAGACAGAGGTGGAGAATTTTCAAACTCTCTAACATTTCCTTGACCAAATTAGTAAGCTTTTTTTCTTACCGTGTCTACACTAACCTCAGCAAAAAGGAAATACACTTGTCAGCAAAACCTTTGAAGGAAAAACGTAATTGTGAAATACTAGAGGAAACAAAAATACTGCGCTGACGGCAGTTGTCACGCAACCCACGCAACCGGAAACAAGCCGATGGACGCATGGATTCTAGTGTATGAACAATAACGAAAAATGTTTCTGAACTTTTCGAGAGCATAAGATATAAAAACATCATTAGTTGCTTCTATGACTGGTTTGAAAATTCGCGATTTATCCATCTTGAACTGTCCTGTCTTGTTTTGATCGGAGCGGTTCGAACAAATGCCTTGTAGGAAAGTTTTCGACGGATTTATATCTGGTGTCTATTCTTAGAACACATTACGGTCCAATGAAAAGCTTCGTTATAAAATGGCAGCAAGACCTGGTATTTGAAGAATGTCTCATGGTCTAGCTAACAGAAAAGACAATTTAGAAAACCAGATCGATCCAGACAGAGATTATAAACATCACTGAACTTTGCCATTGGATGGGATACTTTCATACGCTTTCATCAGCCAGTGAAAATCTATCTTGTTTAACCCGGCAATCGCTTATATATGGCTGGTCTATAATAAAACCTTCGTCATAAGTGGTCGCGTTCGTTCATGTGTTAAATCCATTGTTTTTTAACCAATCAAAATTAAGGGCAAGCCCCTGGGTTTTACCGCAATGTGGTGTGAAGTCAGCGGCCCAGAATATCTAAACCCCCCTATAGGCTATATTGAAGGTGTGGCTTTGGCGCTTGGTGATCAATTCTCCGGCCATTTCCTGATTTCTGAGTTCGTCGGTTCTGGCACATAGTGAGAGACACTTTACTTGGTTTTAGAAAGGTATGTGTGAAAATACGACTTCTACTATACTTTTAGACCGGAGATTATTTCATTGTTGAAGGTTTAGAGGCGTTAATCGCGCTGAAAAAGCGGTTGGTAACATCAGAATGGCAGCGATTTCCAGCCGACTGGGAGAGCAAATTCTTGGCGGCGTTGTTTCACAATCTGTCCCGCTTCGCCCCAAAAATGAAACCAAGAATTCTGAACCGTTGGGATGTCTTTCGATTATTCCTTTTGCCTTCGATAGCTGTTTGGGCGAGTTTTGCTTTCAAATATATTATTTAATTGTGGATGTTTCAAACTGTGTACCTACTCAAGGATGGAGCTGTTGCTTCAGCGAGTAGGTTACATGCTACTGTTAAATTGGCTTAAAATTTGCTCTCCTAACCTTCCATAAAATTGTGTTTAATCCATAGCTTGCGTAAGTACTGGTGTTAATTTTGAGGGGAAGAAAATGTGCTCGGAGAGGGTACTTCGAGCGATAATGATATTCATATTTAGGAGGGCGCTAGCGATCTCGAAGTAAACTTAGAACGGTTTGGCCAACCGGCGAATTATTCAAACACCCCCAGTCAGTGGCTACCGCCTTGCATTCCTGTGCGCAAGAAATATCATTCATTTTGCTGGTACCTCAGTTGAGAAAGTGCTGTGTTTGGTGATACTCATGCCTGCTAATTTCCGACCCAGTTTCTTGAGCTGGTTTTTGGTCAACGTGAGTGCTATAGTTTAACAGAGCTATGACTTTGCGGCAACTTACGCAAGTCACGATTATGATGAAAAGCCGTCATTTTTTGCGATCAAGCGTTGGTTATAGCCATACTTTTCCCTGAAAATGTTCTCTCCACCCTTTCGAAGTTTTAACTGCAATTATACATGGGCAAATAGTTCTTGGTAACATGCCTAATTTTTATTGAAATATTTTTTAAATCTAAGATTACTCCAATTGTTTCATACTTTTTAAACTTTAGTATTATGTCATTACACTCAAGAAAGGTGTTCTAAATAGAGTATGATGTTGCATTATATTTTAATGATATATATCATCATGTAGTCTGTTTTGTTTCCTTGGAAATATATTCTGTAGAAGTTAAAACACAGTTTTCAGCAATGACCTTGCAGTCCTTTTCAATGAAAAATATTTAACAGAGATGGTTAATTATCTTGCATACTTTTTGTTTCTTGCTACTTAACCATTGTCTATCCTCACTTTGATCATCAGTATAACTCTAACCCTAATGGAACTCTTTAGTATCTCTTTCTTTGCCAAATAATGCCTTTTTAACGTGTTTAGTCTGTGACATGTTGTTCAAAACTAATATGCTGCAGAAAAAGTTAGGCTTAATGTTTATTTACGTCAATTTCCTAAAGTACAGTACATTACCTGGTTGATTACCTGGTAACATGCATGCACAATCAGCATCCTGCCTACAACTTCATTCGCATGAATTTGTGGGTTACATCTGATCATTTTGTAGTAGTCAATATCTCTGTGCTACTCAATATTTGCTCAGGTGTTGAATTGATCCAGACCTGCCAACCCCTGATACAGGAAAATCTGGAGACTTGTGACAAAAAATCTGGAGATTCTACATTTTCCCCTATCAAGATTAAACAAACCTTTTTTCATTTGGAGTATTAACTGTTTATTTAAACATTAGTTTGATTTACGTGTGGTCCCTGTGGTAACAACATGCCACATTTTCTTGGATGCCTCTAACAGGCCAGGGAAGAGGTCATGTTAGGGAGAAAACTTATAGCAAGGTGCCATCAAGGCTTAAACAGGCACTAGCATTCCCCATAAAATTTCTGTTTTTATTCAATAATATAGCATATGATATTTTCAAAAAGACTGTGAGACTCGCTGCAAAGTTGTGAGAGTTGGCAGGTCTGTTGATCATAAAACAGTTTATCCTGTATGGAAGGTTTTCTTACAGGGACCAAGTGCTAATGTTGAGATAATGCCTAAATACAAAGGACATGAAAGCTCCGGGTAGTTTTCCTCATCAACTTAACCCTTTCCCTTATAATGTGGTTCTAATTTTTGATGAACTAACCCTGGTGAGTTTCATGTATAACCCTTTCACTCACATAGATGGCCAAAGGCTTCAAAATTTCAATGTTTAAACTTGGAAGTGAAGTGCAAATCGTGCCATGCAAAAGAACTGCCTAGAGGTTTTCTTTGAATGGCCACACAGTAGGATTTTGTCCACGGACTTAAAAGTTAGAGCAACAGAAAATTCTCACCATTAATCTTTCTAAAAGTGAAGGGGTTAAGTTTGATCATGCATTATTTCATTGTTCGTAAATGGAAAAGTTTAGAGTTTTGAACATCACCACTGTTATGAGGTAAAGGGTTGAGTTAACCTTCAATTGTCCTTTTGAAGGTTGAGGAAACAGCAACATGACGCCCCTTAGGAAAAAGCTGGTCATTGTGGGTGATGGTGCCTGCGGCAAAACCTGCCTACTCATTGTGTTCTCCAAAGATAATTTTCCTGAAGTATACGTGCCTACAGTTTTTGAGAATTACGTTGCCGACATCGAGGTTGAGGGCAGGACTGTAGAGCTAGCTCTATGGGATACAGCAGGACAAGAAGATTATGACAGGCTGCGACCTCTCTCTTATCCCGACACGGATGTAATTCTGATGTGCTTCTCCATTGATAGTCCTGATAGTTTAGAGAACATACCTGAAAAATGGACTCCTGAAGTAAAGCATTTCTGCCCAAATGTACCCATCATTTTGGTGGGTAACAAGAAAGATTTAAGAAATGATGAGAACACCAAGAAAGAATTAGCAAAGATGAGACAAGCCCCAGTTAAAACAGAAGAAGGAGAAGAGATCTGTGATAAGATCAATGCCAACGCCTACATGGAGTGCTCAGCAAAAACAAAGGAAAACGTAAGAGAGGTTTTTTATGAAGCCACCAAGGCTGCTCTAAAAAGGCCGAAAAAGAACAAGAAGAGGGGATGCAGTATATTGTAAAATGTTTGGACGTGGTTCCCATGGAACATTACTTTAGTATAGTACGCTTAAGTTGAATGAAAACAAAAACTTCTCCCATCCTTTACGCACCCAGAGGGTTGTGTTAATCAAAAGAGAATGGCTTTCTCCAACTGCGAGTTTTGTAGTTATGGTATATCAATTCAAATTATTAGTATTGTTACTCAAGACACACTGTGCCAAGTCAGGATCGAGCCTACGTTTACAGCAATTATATTATAAACTAAAATAAAGAGCTGTGAAGTCAGATTGTTGTATTAATTGACAAGTGTATAAAGCTATTTTGCCTTTCTCTTCACACAAAAAGAAATCAATATTGTTATTTTTTGTTTCTTTCCATTATTGTAATATTGTTGAATCTATCATGGAGTAATGTATTGATTTGGCACATAAAAGACCCATCTCCTCCATAAGGACTATTTCTTGTCGGTCTTTGAATACTGTTTAAAATTGTTTTGAAGAATAATTTTTTGATTGAATGTTATTAGCTTATGTGGCAACGTGATCTACTTGTCGTGAACTGAAAAGGTTTGAAATCAGGTTTTTCATACTGAGAACAAAAATCCTAATGTTATGCTTTTCGTGCTGGAGTATTTCAAACCTTTTCATGAACAAAAACTTTTTTTTCTTCAAATATGACAATATATCAATCAAATAAAATTGATCGAGTTTTAAAGGGATATATGTCGCTCTTACAGGAAAACTAAACCTTGTGTTTGGAAGTTGTCTGACATGTAAGTGTAATATGCAATGTAGTAGGTGTTAATCAAAAGACCTAAATTCATAAATATAGTTGATTCTTCAGTTTGTTCAGTAAAAATAATAAAACTGTTATTATTTTGTGCCTTTAGTCATGTTTTGCATTAAAAATTGTTATTATTCTAGCTAGGGCTGGGAATTGGCTGAGATTTCTCAATCAATCATCCCAAATAATCAGATGACCCAAGTGATCGACCATTGATCACTATCGGAAAAAACTTCTTTATGAGAAGTCCATTTATTTTTCACCTCTGTGAAAGTCAAAGTACATGCAATAGAAACTTGTTGAGGTTTATGACTGTAGACCACTGAGCTAAGAATTTTTCTGTGCTTGCAGGTGATCAAATTCTCGTTCTTTTTTAATATTACGAGACCGTTAATAGACAGTGCACAAGTTCTTAATATGTTTATTTCCCAACAAAAAAATTAAGGATTTGGAAATTAACGCAACTTGAATTATCACAAAATTGTAATGGAAAACGACTTTCGAACAACACAAATTAATTAATATGAAAGACAGGGTATTTTTTCAAAATAAAAGAAATTAATGCATCATTCACAAAGAAGCAACTAAAGACAACAGGAACAAAGTTAAGTGTATAATCTGGAATGGAAACTGTGTTCCTGGTACTCTCCCTAAAAATATGAAAGGGGTCACCCTCAGAAATATGGTCACTTTGAGGGCTGACCACAGTTTTACTGATACTACCAGATCTCCACCCTGATAAAATACTCCTCTTTCCTAGGTGTCAAGAATGTCTTAAGTGAATTGGGGCCAAAATGATAGAAATTGTGGTAGTGGAAAGTAACATGCCACTTACAGTTTCGTAATAAATGGCACAGAAATATTGAAGATAAACATACAAATGTTTTAGTGAAAATAGGAACCTTTATTTCTTGTTTCACTGGTTGGTGAGCGTCGCTAAAACTGCCTTTATTTTCCTTTCCTTTTTATCACCTTTGTTATGTTACATAAGCCATGTAATTTTGTTTAACGTGCAGCACTTTGCTCAAAGTAATACGTAAAGTATTGTTCAGGGGTTTCAACAAGCACTGATGACCGACAACACATGTCGGCCACTTTGCTCCGAGAAGTCAATTACTTTTTCCCGCTAAATTGGAAGCTGGAAGTGAAGTATTACAGCAAGGAGCCCAAAATTGTGACCACCTTTAATTAACTCACATTCTTTCATGCAGACATTTTAAAACCAATCAGAAGTCGAGGACAGTTTCTAGCTGGCTTCTGATTGGATTAAATCTGTACGAAAGACTGCGAATAAGAATCAAAAGCAGTCACACTTTTGGGGTCCTGTCAAAACTTAAGTAAAATTCAATTTGCTGGACCTAGAAATACTTTTTGCTTCAGATTCAAAGTATTTAGGAAATGTTTGGGATGTACTGTGCATTACTTGTCCAAATTTGCCATTATCGTTTGTACTCAATTAAGTGCCTAGGACGTTTGAAATCAAATTTTAAGGCGTTGAATTTTCAGAATTTTCTGAGGTTGCATGCTTCGAGATAGCTCTAGAAGAAGGGGTGTGGAAGCCTGTTTTTAATACTATCAGTTATTTTTTTCAAACCTTCTGGCTTCTTCAATTTTAAAACCCCTGATTGTGTGTTGTATTTTGTGCATCATCACTCTTTTGCCTCTGCTTGTTTTGCTACATCATCTGCAAGGTCAAAAGTACTATAGGATGGAGACCTCATGACACTGTCACATGTATAAGGACCCATCTGTTTCATAATGTAGGTTAACAGTTTTATTAAAAGGGATGTTGTAAAGGGGAAAAATTGAGATATTATTCCAGACCAATGGCTTCATGGCGTAGACCACAGCGTGGCTATACTTTTGAAAAGATCAGATCATAGTCCAACTCTAGTAGACAGGAGGAACCCCGGTGATCTAGCAATGTGGGACTCAGATTATGAGCAAGAAGATGAAGAAGAGTTAAAAAAGAACGATTTGAGAGGCAGTGTTACCAAAAGAGAGGCTCCAGAAATCAAACAAGTTCCAGTTGAAACAGAAGGCACCAGGGTCATCATATTGAGCAGTAAATACTGTGATTGCGTTCCTGAAACAAGTAGAGATGGAGATGTAGATGTAACTGACTCAGCTTCTGAAATCACCCACAAAAATGATCCAGGCCAGAAATCCAAATGCACTGTTATGTAAAAATGTTATAAATTACAAGAAAGTTCAAGGTTAACTTTAGCCACTTGTGTCATAATAAATTATTGGCTTTTATTTGGAGTCTATGATGATGTTACTTCTCAAATTGGAGATGGAGATGAAACTTCAGTGAAATAACCCCCCCCCCAAAAAAAATGATCAAGGCCAGAAAACCAAATGCAGTGTAATGTAAAACTGTTGTAAGATTACAAGCTCAAGATTTAAACTTGAGAATTTTTCAAGTGTAATAATAAACAACCATTTGGAGTCTATGATGATGTTACTTCTCAAAGGATTAATGAAAATTGTGAGATGACAACTCTAGATCTGCATTACCAGTTTTAACTCCTAGAGCACTTGAATCTTGAAGTGCAAAGTTTTCTTGCTCTTCAAAGCACAGTAGTAGGATTGCTCTATTTTATGGCATCACTGCTACTTGTGATATACCTTGTTTACTGTTAAAGTTGCCTTCGTAGGTGGGGTAGGGGTTACATCTTGTTTAGTATTTTGTTTAAGCAGATGGTGTATTTTAACATGACCCACTTGATAGGGACATCCCAGTAATTTGGACACTTTCTATGGCCCCCTTAGTGGCGGTAATAACAAGGGTGACTGTATTGTAACGCTCTCATGAGATGCATTGTCTTCTGGCCTGGGTGGTACTCCACAAAGTTTTATACGGGAGGTGCTGCTCCAAGGTCCAAGGCCTTACCCCTTTTATATTTCATTTTTTGACAGAAAACGTACCCCTTTCACATTGACAAATGGGACCCCATTTGCATACCTAGTTTAGAACTTTGCATTCCTTTGAACTGTTTTAAATTCACTGTCTTTCAAATGTGAATAATATCACAATTCCTGAATGTTTTCTTGACTTTTTCACAGCCATAAAATCCTTCCGTAGCCCTTTTAGGTCATTTTTACAGAAAGAAATGACAGATTTACCCACCCTTTCGTATACTTCAGGGCTCGAAATAATGGCTGGTCAACGGACAATGTCTGGACTGATTGGGAAGTTGACCGGTCAACCTTTCATCTTGCCAGTTATGCTGACCGGTCACAGCCAGTCGTATTGAAAATGACAAATTAAAATTTCCATGCTATTCAGTTGTTTCAGTTGTTGTGTAGCAAGTTGCTGTGTATTATGGAACTTTGATCTGAAATCATCTATGAAATGCTACTAGAACCATTGTTTAAAATTCAGCATTGAAACTGACATCGTAGTTCACGCACTTCCTGTCACAAAATTAAAATTATTTTCACTTTTATTAATTAAGCAACCACTTTTTATTTTGGGAAATTTGTGTCACCAGTTTTGGATCATGGGCCCTTGTTTTAAGCGTTATTTATAAATCTCATAAATTTGACCGAGCTAAAATGGATTTGGCTGGTCTGGGTCATTGTGTCTGGAGACTCTCCGGAAATTATTTCGAGGCCTGTACTTCAAATTAAAATTAACCCCTACCTTACCTGAGAAAGGTACCCCTTTATGGGGGGGTCTCACCCAATACGCCATAAAAGAGAGTAAAGAGAGAGTTGTCTTGTGGTTGTACGGACAATTGAAACAATTGAAAGAAAAATTGTAACAAGAAAGTCATCTGTGAAAACTGTATTCTGTAATTGAGATATTTTATAAGCAAAAGCTTATCCTCATGGTGAGGGAGACAATCTTCTTTTGAAGAGCTAAATAATTGTATGAACTAAAACTTAACACTGGCTTCTTTTTCTCCTTTGTAGAGTGAGTATTTAACACGATGACAGCCATCAGGAAAAAACTGGTCATTGTGGGAGATGGTGCGTGCGGTAAAACTTGCCTTTTAATTGTGTTCTCCAAAGATCAGTTCCCCGAGGTTTATGTGCCGACAGTTTTTGAAAATTATGTGGCTGATATTGAAGTGGAGACCAAGAAGGTAGAGCTAGCTTTATGGGATACGGCAGGGCAGGAAGATTACGATAGGCTACGTCCGCTCTCCTATCCAGACACGGATGTAATTCTGATGTGCTTCTCCATTGATAGTCCTGATAGTCTAGAGAACATACCTGAAAAATGGACTCCTGAAGTAAAGCATTTCTGCCCAAATGTACCCATCATTTTGGTGGGTAACAAGAAAGATTTACGAAATGATGAAAACACCAAGAGAGAATTAAAAAAGATGAAACAGGAGCCAGTGAAACAAGAGGAAGGAAGTTCAATGGGTGATAAGATAAATGCCCACTGCTACATGGAATGCTCAGCGAAAACAAAGGAGGGAGTAAGAGATGTATTTAAAGAAGCTACAAAAGCAGCTCTTGAAACAAGGAAGAGAAGACATGGCAAGAGAAAGTGCTGTATATTGTAAAGTTTGGACTTGTTCCCACAGAACTTGCTTAATATACCTTTAGCTATGTTAGAAGTTTCCTCTTCATTACACACTTTGTTTGGCTGGGGCGGGGAAGTGGGGGGGGGGGGGGGGGGGGTTGGCCCTGTTAGGGGGGATTTTTTGTTTGGGATGGGAGGGGGGTTTTTTTTTGTTATTTAAAGATAGTTTTTTTGGGGATGGAAAGGGCTTGTAAATTTTTTTTTTTTGGGTGTGGGAAGTGGGTGGTGGTGGG